ACAGAAAGCGAGAAATCACCCCCCAGGGGGGATGGTCACGCCGCAATCCCTTCTCCTCCATTCTCCTCTTGGGATCTTGGGCACGCACGCACACGCGCCCGGCGTGAGTTCCAAGCCACCGGGTCCGGGACACGAACCGCGGTCGACTACGTGGGAGTCCAGCGACATAGCCATTACGCTAACTGCTGGTTCCCCACAATGTATTTTTACAACTGTCAAATCTACTCTATGCATGACCTTAAGTATTTGGTGTAGCGAGTACCTGTTTTGTAGTAAGGAGGCCACCTTATTGGAAAGAAGACAGAGCATTGAGGAGGAAACAAGAACAAGAAGAGGAACTTACAACTAAAAACTACCTCTCCATTTTTTATGTAAATGTTTAATCACTCAATTAAACATTTTCTACATGGTTAACAGTCCAGACTTTAGTCAGGTGACCTTGTTTGAATTCCAACTTTGACACTCAGTTATTTGTTTACTTATTTTAGAGAGATTTCTGCTATAGAGTGTATGCACTTGCCAGAGAGACAGAAAGTGAGAAATCATCCCTGGGAGGATGGCCACGTGGCAATCCCTTCTCCTCCACTCTTCTCTTGGGATCCCGGGAATGCACACACACATGCCTGGTGTGGGTTTCAAGCCACGTGGGAATCCAGCCATGTAACCATTATGCCAACTGCTGGTCCCTGTTTATTTTCTTTTTTAGAGAGATTTTTGCTGTAGGATGCATACGCTCACAGGAGAGACAGAGAGACAGAGGGGATGGCCACACTGCAATCCCTTCTCGTCCAGTCTCCTCTCAGGATTTTGAGCACCACCTCACACACACACCAGGCGTGAGTTTTAAGCCGCTGGGTCCAGCAACATAACCATTATACCCATTATACCATCTGCTGGTCCCAACACTCAGTCATTTGACCTTGGTCAAATTGGTTAGTCAATCTAAGTATCAAGTTTCTTCATCTGCAAAAAGGGACAATGGGGGGCCAGCAGGTGGCATGGTGGTTGAAGCACTGGACTCCCACATGGTCAACTGCCGTTTAAGTCCTGAACCTGGAGGCTTGCTTTTTCTCTCTTTCTCTCTCTGTCTCTCTCTGGTGACCACAGATACTCTACAGAAATTTAAAAAAACAAATAAATAATTATTTAAATTTAAAATTTTTTTTAAAAGAATACTACAGGGAAGGCAGGTGGCATGGTAGTAAAGGCACTGGACTTGACTGTGGTCCAAGTCCTGGACCTGAGGGCTAGCTTTCTCATTTTCCCTTTCTCTCTCTCTGTCTCTCTCCAGTCAAATTTTAAAATAAAATGAAATAAATAATTCTTTAAAAAAAAAAAGGAATAATAGGGCCAACC